GCAAAGGAACCGTCCCTAAACCACGAAAAAAGAAATTTCAGCAAGGGCTTAAGCAGCAGACCACTACTCCTTTCAAGAAGGGTAAGAAGATGAACAAGGAAAAGATGAATTGTTTCACCCAGTGGCAAGATCAGGCACTTTTCTAGGGAGTGTCCCGAGGCTAAGTGGAAGCCTCCTCCACCACATAAATCAGTTAACACTATTGAGACTGATGCAACTACATCTGGGTATGGTAAAGTTTTGCCTTCTGTATTTTCAGTTTGTCATTCACCTGATTGGTGGGTTCACACTGGTGCAAATATACATGTGTGTGCTGATGTTTCCTTGTTTTCTTTTTACCAGGGGCATGGCTGGCTCTCTTGTTGATGGGGAACGGGCGCGTCAAGGTACTGTTCGTGGTGTTGTTGGCACGTCGATCTGAAGCTCACTTCGGGAAAGACCGTGCAACTACGGAACGTGCATCATGTCCCCTCAATAAAGAAGAATTTGATTAGTGGTTCCCTGCTATGTCGTGATGGTTTTAGACTTGTGTTTGAATCCAATAAATTTGTACTCTCCAAGTATGGAATTTTTGTTGGAAAAGGCTATGAGAGCGGAGGCTTGTTCCGCTTGTCTTTGGTTGACACTTGTTTAAGTTCTGTTAATCATGTGAGTCACGACATTGAGACAAATATTTGGCATTCTCGTTTATGTCATATTAATTTTGGTTGCATGTCCCGCTTAGTTGGTTTAAATTTAATTTCAAAAATAGATATGGTCAAAGGTTCAAGGTGCCATGTTTGTGTTGAGACAAAACAAACTCGTAAGCCTCACAAGACTGCTGTGGCGAGAGAATTGACACCGCTTGAACTAATTCATTCTGATATCTGTGAGATGAATGGAGTTTTGACCAAAGGTGGTAAGAGATACTTCCTTACATTTATAGACAATTGCACTCATTTTTGCTACGTGTATTTACTAAAAACTAAGGACAAAGCGTTGCATTATTTTAAAATTTATAAAGCTGAAGTAGAAAATCAACTTGAGAAGAAAATTAAAAAGTTACGGTCCGATCGCGGGGGGGAATATTTCTCAAATGAGTTTACTGAGTTTTGTGCGGTGCATGGTATTATTCATGAGAGGACGCCACCATACTCACCACAATCCAATGGGATTGCAGAGAGAAAGAACCGCACTCTAACAGATTTGGTTAACGCCATGATAGAGACTGTAGGACTATCTAAGGAATGGTGGGGTGAGGCTATATTGACAACATGTCATGTCCTGAATAGAGTGCCCACTAAAAACAAAGAAATTACACCATTCGAGGAATAGGAGAATAAGAGATTAAATCTCTCCTATCTGCGAACATGGGGTTGTTTGGCAAAGGTGAGTGTGCCAATTAACAAGAAATGAAAGCTTGGACCCAAAACCATTGATTGTGTTTTTCTCGGGTATGCTATTCACAGCGTGGGTTATATATTTTTAATAATAAATTCTGGAGTTCCTGATATGACAGTTGGGACCATCATGGAATCTAGAGATGCAACATTCTTTGAGAATGAGTTTCCCATGAAAGATAATACACCTAGCAATTCTAGTCATGAATCTATCCCTGAATCTTTTGAACCGATGGTACACGCTGATGTTGAAACCCATGTTGAAATTCCTAAGGAGGATGATAATATTGTCACTCGAAAGAGTTAGAGGCAAAGGGTTATAAAATCTTTTGGTGAAGACTTTATTATATACCTTGTGGATGATACTCCCACAACCATTGCAGAGACATATTCATCTCTCGATGCTGACTTGTGGAAGGAAGCTGTACAGAGTGAGATGGATTCCATCATGTCTAATGGTACTTGAGAAGTGGTTGATCGTCCCTATGGATGTAAACCTGTGGGGTGTAAATGGGTATTCAAAAAGAAGCTTTGGCCTAATGGTACTATTGAGAAGTATAAGGCCAGGCTAGTGGCTAAAGGCTATATACAAAAGGAAGGAGAGGATTATTTTGATACTTACTCACCAGTTGCCCGTTTGACGACCATACACGTACTTTTATCCTTGGTTGCCTCACACGGTCTTCTCGTTCATCAGATGGACGTTAAAACAGCTTTCTTGAATGGAGAGCTTGAGGAAGAGATCTATATGGATCAGCCAGATGGATTTGTTGCGAAGGGTCAAGAGGGTAAGGTGTGTAAATTATTAAAATCCTTGTATGGTCTGAAGCAAGCCCCTAAACAGTGGCATGAGAAGTTTGATAAAACTTTAACATCAGCCGGCTTTGCAGTGAATGAAGCTGATAAATGTGTATATTATCGGTATGGTGGGGGAAATGGTGTCATTTTGTGCTTATATGTGGATGATATTTTAATCTTTGGAAATAATATTAATGTGATCAAAGAAGTGAAAGACTTTTTGTCTAATAATTTCGAGATGAAAGACTTGGGTGAGGCTGATGTTATTCTTAACATAAAGCTATTAAGAGAAGAAGGAAATGGTGGGGTAACTCTTGTGCAAACCTACTATGTGGAAAAGGTTTTGAATCACTTTGGTTATAGTGATTGTATACCTGCTCCAACTCCTTATGACCCAAGTATAATTTTGAGGAAAAACCGCATAATTTCAAGGGATCAATTGTGGTATTCTCAAATTATTGGTTCTCTTATGTACTTGGCTAGCGCCACGAGGCCTGATATCTCGTTTGCTGTGAGCAAACTAAGCCGGTTTGTATCAAATCCGGGAGATACTCATTGGAGTGCTCTTGAGAGAGTGCTACGCTATCTCAAAGGTACAATGACTTATGGCATTCACTTTACCGGGTATCCAAGGGTACTGGAGGGTTATTGTGATGCTAATTGGATATCTGATGCTGATGAGCTGTACGCCATGAGCGGATATGCGTTCCTGCTTGGAGGTGGTGCTGTTTCCTGGAAGTCTTGTAAGCAGACTATCTTAATGAAGTCTACAATGGAAGCAGAACTGACAGCATTGGATACTGCTGGCGCTGAGGCTGAGTGGCTTCGTGAGCTCCTTATGTATTTATCGGTAGTGGAAAAACCTATACCAGCTATTTCTATGAACTGTGACAACCAAACTGTGATAACCAAGGTGAACAGTTCTAAGGACAACATGAAGTCCACAAGGCATGTAAAAAGGCGTTTGAAGACTGTCAGAAAATTGAGAAACTCCGGAGTAATTGCATTGGACTATGTCCACACATCTAAGAATCTGGCAGATCAGTTTACTAAGGGTCTATCACGTAATGTGATAGAAGGTGCGTCGAGGGAGCTGGGCTTGAGACCCACTTGAAGTCATTCCATAGTGGTAACCTGTCCTATTTGATCGGAGATCCCATGAATTAGGATGGTGAAACAAGCTAGTGGATGACTGAGGGAGAGACTCCTTAGAACAAAGTTTGGCTCATTTGAGATGCACCATTTCTCCAAAGCTGTAAGGCAGGTTGATTAAGTTCTTAATGTGATCCGAGTGGCTTGATTAAACAGGGATGTTGTCCTACAGAACATCCTTAAAGGAATACACCTATATGAGTTCGATTGCTAGTCACAGTCTATGAGATGTGGGTCATCTCTAGACACTCATGAAAGGCTAGGAAGTGTGACTTATATGCTTCAAACAGAGGGGATACTTGTAACAGCCAAGTACCATGAAAAGAACTTTGGTGAAACTCAATTCACACAACACTGTCAATTCAAGGTATAGTCCATTGTTCAGTTGTTAATGAGCCTAGCCTTTGTTCTAGACGGGTGTTCAACTTAACAGTCCCCGTTGAAACTCTGTTATATCAAAGAACTATGGTTTTTGAGATTATTTTCTACAAACCCTAGAGTTTGGTGGGGATTGTTGGTATATTATGGTCTAGGCCGATATAATATATACAATAATTAATAAACTCTATGATTTGTATTAAATAATCTTTATTGGTTTAGTACCAATATGTGATATGGACCAACCGTAGGCACATGAGGCTGGTGATCGGCTGGGCCTTGGACGTGACTAGGCATGCAGGAAGGCAACAAGCGTTCAGTATTCCATCTTGCCAATTAGAATTCTTGATTATGTAAGTTACATAAGGTCTTTTCATTCCATTAATTAATTGGCAAAAGAATACAGGAGTTTCCTTCTCTAGCATTCATCGTATCTGCTACCTCCTAGTCTCTCTGAGTCCGCTGGCCTTCCCATCCGTGCGTGGGATATATTCCTAACTCCATCGCCTGGTCCATTTTCTGGCGATTATGAAAACCAAAAGTTCTCGCTGTCTAAAAAGTTTTTCCCGTTCCGTCTCCTGCGCGCACACGAGATGGAAGAGTAGAGCCTCCGGAACGTCTCCGCTCATCGAGTTCAACTGCTTGGGTGAAGGGCGGCCATCACGTTTTTGGGGAGTGTACGCAAGCGGCACGACTACTCGCTTCGTCCCCTCCCTGTTCCCGCCGTGAGTTGCTGTTCGTCTTCGTCGGGTGATTTTCGGCTTCTGTTCTTCACTGCATCGAGCGGGACGACTACAACGACAGGCATCATGTTTGGTGCATCCGGCTCTGCTGCAGGGTATAATCACTTCACCCGTCTCGTTAATTATATGATCTCTATTACAATCTTGCTGGTTAGTGTTAACTATATGATGGTCATGATTTATTCGGACAATAATATGTATCATGTCTCACTGGTTAGCACTATTTTAATATCCATGGTGATATTTCATTTGAACAAGCACATATATGATATCATGAGTATTTTGTTTATATCTCTTTTACGGATTAAATTAAACTTGAATTTGCCTATATTTCTAACATTAGATGCTTAGACACCATTTCATATGCTTACTATAAACTGATGGTGTTCCAGAGGACCTGCCCCGTTATCTAATAGTTATGGACGATTTATGAACTTGGCTGAGTTGCATAGGTGTTACACGATTAGACCCATTCCTCGTTGCCATATCTATATTTTATCTGAACTGTAGGGTTTATATGAGAGAAAAATATACAAGTGAAAGAAATAACATGCAGAATTCCCATTTCGTGCCAGCTGTTGACAATGCCATCCATATAGGAATAACTGACAAAAAAGCAAACCATGCCTTCTGGAACAGCAGGAGCCATTTCTAGCAAGAGGCGGTCATAATTCCTCACAACACCAGGATCACTACGCATATCAAACTTTGTACTCACAGGTAGCTGGTCACTGAAAATGATGGAATGATTGATGTTTACACAAAAGTGTACAATATTACCAGTAATATGAAATTTTGGAACCAACTAAAGATGTCATAAAAGCTTAACATAAGTGTCATATGATCCTTAGTCCTTAGGAATAAAAAGGTAGCCTGTATATGCAATACAGTGTTAGCATTTCCAATCTAAGAATATATTGGCAATACTAACACTTAAAGACTCGGGCATACTACATTATTAAATTTTGAAATATGAAGTTCATGTGGGACCAGAACCACTCATACCTTCCTCGAGTCAAGACCATGGGACAAATACAATCTCTTGTTAAGGACGTTTGTGAAGCTTCTGCTTATGACAGGATTAAAATTCAAGAGACAAGGATAAAGATCTATTGGGCTGAGAGTTCCAGAAGTGATCACAACCGTTTCGAAACGATCAAAAACAGGTCTTATTGCGAGCGAAGCATCATGGCAACTCAGCTGCAAAACAGATGAGTTCATTAGTAGCACATTAAAGAAGCAGTAAGATCATCAAGAGTAATCTGGGTACCTGAATAACAGGATCACGAATATCAGGCATTCTCTCATCATATGGCTCTATTATAATAGAAAAGCCACGTGTATAAGTTCCAATCAGTGTGGCAAAGTCACATATAGTCTGTATGTGAATGAACTCGTCTGTATCAGTTATCTCTAATGTCATCGTTAGGGAGTGTAGCCGGTCATAACAAAACCTTAGCATTTTTTGGTCGATTCCAGCCTGGGAATGGATTGAAGCAACAAAGGAAACAGGCATTTCATTCTCAACGTTTTCTGTATCAAGCCGGCCATCAAGGATTCTCACAAGCCTCCGCAAGACAGCAAGAAAGTGTTCAGCCCTCCTTATGTTTCCAGGAACAGCTTCCTTCAGAATATCATCAGGCAAAGCCGGATTCGCGAGCCAGGCATCCGATACCTCATCACAAGAAGCACAATACTGTTAGGTATCTGTAGAAGGCCATAGTTGACAGCAGGAAATGCAGTAATAGTGACAAAAGGCAGTGCTTACTTGATAGATTTCCTCTCTGTGCCAGTCCATCCACCAGTCTGTTGTATTCAGCACGAAGCCTATTAGCATCGGTGGCCTTGAACCTTCCTACCAGATAAAGCTGTTAGCAAGCAAGCAAGCTTAATTACCCCTCACAAAGTTGGACAGTAGTTTTAAAGAAACAGAACCTATCGTTCAGTGACTATTAGTGGCTGAACTTAAGTATGTCCAACAATTGAGAATAGTACCTGTCGGTACAGAAAGTGATCAACTAGTGAATATTTATAGTTTTACCATACGTTGTGATCGGAGGTGGCCTAGCACTCAATGACACAGGGTTTATACTGGTTCAGGCAACGTGCCTTACGTCCAGTTTGAGTTGGTCGGTAACTTTATTCCTGAGCCCAGGTGCTCGAAGTCTGCAGTGGGGTTACAAACGGGAAGGAAAAAAATGGGGTGTACAAGAGGTCCGGTCGGCTCCGGTCGGAAGGGCCGAGAGCGACAGGAGCTATGCTATGAGCTAAGTGTTCAAGCGCGTGCTTGAGGTCTTAACCCAGCGGTTCTGTAGTTGTGAGCTAGTGAACTTGATCGGTGTTGATTAACTAAGCGGTCTCTCCTTTTTCGTTGGAGGGAGCGCATCCCCTTTTATAGATAAAGAAGATGGTTTTACAAGTGAGGGGGTGAGGGAATGTATGCTACTGAGCTTTATTGCCCATGTCGGCGGATATAAGATAATGGTAGGCGCCCACAACACTGTTGATGTCGCTGTAGAATGTCAGATGCATGTGGAAGGTTGCGTTGCCTTCTTCAGGAATGGTAGATGTCGGTACCTGCGAATACTGTTGATGCCTAGAGGCATGTGAGGAGTTTCACCATGTTCACCAGGTACGGTAAATCCCGACACCCACAACACTATCGATGCCTAGAGGAATGTGGGGGGCCTTACCGTATGGGAGTTAATGGCGCCCACAATACTGTAAAGGGAAATGTCGGCGCCTACAATACTGTTTGTGTCAGGGTGGTTGCGGAGTACTGTTCCTACAGGCGTACAGGGTATGGTCCCCGATATGGTGGTTTGACTTGTGCGCCCTGGCTTGCTTTCTCCGTTTGCCCCCTGGTCCTTTCCGAGCGGGCGTCCCCAGTCAGATGGCCCTAGTCGGCTTTGGTTGCGCTAGTCGGAGAAGAGCGGTGAGCAGGGTTTCTGCGAACCCCGGTCGAAGATGCGGGGTCGGAGTCGGAAGCAGTGTTTGGGCCAGGTCTTCCGATTGGAGAGGTCGTCCGGAGGCGGCTGTAGTCCGAAGTGAGGACTCCAGTCGGAGAGGTGGGCCGAAGTAGTCGACGAGCGGGCACTGTTCCTCTTCGGCCAGACCTTTCGATCGGTGACTGGACCGCCCTTTCGGCCAGTTGTTTTAGGCTCTTGGGCCGGCCCATGAGTTGCGTGCTGTCTTGTTTGGGCCGTGCCTTGGCGCGGAAGCCGATCCCCGAGGGACCCCGGGTTTATGAACCCGACAGGAGCCCCCGAGCCCCTGGGTGATTCGGGCAGAATCGTCCGGGGGATTTTTATCTTGACGGCGGGTGCGCGCGAGCGCACTCGCGGGTGTAGCCCCCCGAACCGTCTAGGGGGTTTTTCCTGTGTCGTCAGTTGGGGAGGTTTCTATTTTGTCGGCGGGTGCGCGTGAGCGCACCCACAGGTGTAGCCCCCGAGCCCTCGGGCGGTTCGGGCAGAACCGTCTGGGGGGTGTTCGGTAGCGGGCGTGTGCGTGTTTTTAGTTGGGATGGAGTTTGTTTAACCAAGGCATCGTTGCGTAGCCGAGGTGTTTAGTTGGTTGGGGATCGGATGAGACGGAGCTCACGGATTCTGGCGTCGGTGCGCGCCGTGGGATTGGGCGAGGCAGTTAGTTCATTAGTTTTTAGGAGAGGCGACAAGGCGGTGCTCGTGGACCCCAGCCTTGGTGCAGCCCATGCAGCCAAGGCAGTTAGTTTGTTAGTGTTGGGATTAGGCGAGGTGACAGGGCGGTGCTCGCGGATCCTGATGGGGCGAGATCGGGGTCACAGACTCGGGTGTTTGGAGCGTAGTCGGTAGGGGCGAGTTCGGGGTCGCAGACCTAGGCTTTTTGTGTCTTGAGCCCCCGAGCCTCGCTGGGCCTTAGTAGGGGTCGGTGTGAGTTGTGTGCGTTTCCCCATCCTCGGTTCCTCACAACCGGAGGGGCTGAGTTTTGTCGCTTGTCCCGATCGCTCGGGCTCGAGTGACACGCTCGGTGAGTTCACTAACGGGTATGATCAAGCAGAATCCGGGTCCGTCGTTAGTGACGGGGTCGGAATAGCCCTCTTGTTACATTCCACTTCTCCTTTACCTGCAAACCGGCAGATGCCTGGGTCATTTCGGAGACCGACTCGGGTGGCCTAATGGCCTCCCCTTGATGGAGATTCTATGGGCTTGGCGAGAGGTTTAGGATTGAACGAGAAGGTTGAGATGACCTGGTCTGCCAGACTGGGCGAGGGCCGCACAGGGCTCATCTGCGTTTTTCTCCCCTGGCTCTGTTGTTGCTCATGTTGAATGAGGCAACTACCGTTCCGTGACGCAACACGGAGTGTTGTGGTGCATTTCGCTGCACGTGCGATGCTTAGTTCCCGAGCCCCCGGGCGGTTCAGGGCCCGAATCGTCCGGGAGGCTCGGGCGTATGGAATGAATGCATGTATGGATGTATGAAATGATTATAAAGAAATAGAGGGGGTTGGTAGTGTTCACCTTGATGTCTTGAGTGACGGGGTTTGGAGAGCTTTAGTTGGGAACGTCCGACCAGGACCCATGCTCGTCGTTCGTGACGGAGTTGATATGGCCTACATGGGGCGTCCCTTCGCTTCCTACATGTGTCTTGGTGTGTCTTTCTGAGCCATTTGATCAACTTTTAGGAAGCCCGATGGTCTCTCTCGGGGGAGATCCCGTTTTGGGTTTTTTTCCAAGTCCCGCCTAGGGATGCGGAGAGCTGCCTGTGTGTGGTGATGCTTCGGTTTTCATGCCTGGTCATGCGATAGTGGTGGGGCATACCTAGGCCACGTTTCATCTCGCCAGGTGGTGTTCCGTCTGACCCGGCGTCGTTCCGTCGATCAGTGCGCGTCCCTTCGGTCAGGGCATGTCCCATCGTTTCCCATCCGCATTGAATGGGGGAAGGGGGAGAGTTTTTGCGCTATGATCTTTTGCCCTTCTTCGGCTGCCGCGTTTTCTTCCTTAAATAGGGGGAGGGAGAGAGTTCTCCGTCGCAGTCCTTTGCTTGTTGTCCAACTATTGTCTCTCCTCCTTCTTTCTTACCGAGAGTGTCTATATGCCACGTCGGTTCCTAAGTGAGAGAGGGGGTGAGTGATGGGGAGGACTTATAGATCCTTTCGTGGATCCAGAGCGCGATGTTGAACTGGAGACTACCGCAAGTGGTGCTGGATTAATCTGCGAGGCCTTCTTCGGGATGGAGCCGTGTGTGGATTTTCTCTTATGGATCTTCATCGGGCGAGCTTTGTCGGAGGGGAAGTTGCTTAGGATCATGCCGGTGGAGGGTTTCGTGCCTTGTAGCTACTCAGGTTGGCCAGTTCATAAAGTTTGATGAGATCTCTTCCAGCCATGGTGGCCATACCTTGGTAGCAGAGCCCCAACCCAGGTGATGCCTTGACTGCATGAGAAGGTTAGGAGCTCCATGCTCTTCTGCTGAGCATCTAAGGGTGTGACGCCCTTGAGGTGCCCGTTGCGCTTGCCGAAGTCGAGGGAGCGGAACCGGGCGGGGCACCAGCGGTTGTGGTTATGTCCGGCGTCGTGTGTCGTGGTTTCTCTTTTGGCGTTCAGGCGATGTCGTCGAGCGGCCGCAGTAGTATTTGTTGTAGTAGAAAATGTAATAGTTTTAGTTTATGGGTGAGTCCCCGTGTAAATGTTCCTGTGTGTTTAATGACTACGGTCTGTTTCGTTTTCTATAATGGAGTCACTCTGTTCGGGGAAGCTTGTTCCCCTTTTGTTCCTTAGTTTTTTCTTAGCATAATTTTGTTTTTTATTCTTTCTTTCTCGTACCTGCCCATTTGTCCCATAGGCTGCGACCTTGGGAGCTCGGGGTGTGGCCCGTAAGGCTCGACTGCTCGTATCCGTAGGGAGAGGTGGGGTGCGATCGGTCGAAATGTTTTTAAAGCAAAGCTACGTAAGGCAAATTAAAGGAACAAACTATCCTTTTGGTTGGGTAGGAAGGAATTTCACCATACAATAGTAAACAAAATTGAGAGGTAGTAGTGTACCCTAGTGGAGCCCCCGAGCGCCCCAGGCCAAAAAACTGTTCGGGTCGGGGTGCTTTTATAGGAGCATACGCTGAGTAAACAACGGTTAGACTGAAATTTAGGGGGAAAACAACGTAGTTGTTCAATGTTCTAAGTGTTGGTGAGAACATTGCCATTGTTGTCCCCCAGTCGGTAGGCGCCCGGTTGGATTACTTCGGTCACTATATAGGTCCCTTCCCATGGCGGAGAGAGCTTGTGTTTTTCCTTCGTCGATTGGGTCCTCCGGAGTACGAGATCACCGACTTCAAGTATCCTCCCTCTGATCTTTCTTTCATGGTACCTATGGAGGGTTTGTTGGTAGTGAGCAGAGCGGATGATGGTCGTCTCATGGGCCTCTTCGAGTAGGTCGACTGCGTCTTGTTGAGCCTCCGTGGCTCGGTTGTGGTCGAAAGCCTTCACTCTTGGGGCGCCGCGGTCGAGGTCGGAGGGTAATACTGCCTCAGCTCCGTAGGCTAGGAAGAAGGGTGTGAACCCTGTGGATCAGTTTGGGGTCGTTCTTAGGCTCTAGAGGATCACTGGGACCTCTGCAACCCATCGTCCGGCGTACTTGTTGAGTCGGTCGAAGATGCGTGACTTAAGTCCTTGGAGGACCATGCCATTGGCACGTTTGACCTGACTGTTAGTTCATGGATGTCCGACCAAAGCCCAGTCGATCCTGATACCGTATCCATCGCTGAAGTCTAGGAATTTCTTTCTGGTGAAGTTAGTCCTGTGGTCAGTGATGATACAGTTAGGAACGTAGAACCGGTAGATGATGTCGAGGAAGAATTTGACTTCCTCCT